TGAGAGATGGCTGTAAAAGTATTAGCAGACATAGAAGCTTCTATGTAATATATTAATGATTATATAATCTGAAGACTGAAAGAGATCTGCTGAGTGAAGAATCTCTGATGCATAAGATTATCTGATAACTGATAATTGATATCATCTATAAGAGTAAGAGTTCTCTTGCACTTCAGAGAATGATATTGCTATATTTAAGTATGAGAGCTATAGAACATGAAATACAATCTTATTCTTAGACTTGATTAGTTTTAAAGGTTTAATTCACAGATTCAATAATGTACATATCATATGCAGTTGACTGATAAGAAGAAAACAGTTCATACAATTCTATCAACTGATATAAGAAGAATATTTCACATCTCTGATATAGAAGAGTTAAATCTGCTTACATATCAATAAGTAAAGAGAATGATTTGTAAGATCTCATTCAAAAGCATTCTATATGTTATACAGAACCTGAAAGTGAAAAAAACTAAGATAAAGAATATACAGAAGAACAAGTGTATGAAGAAGCTTCTGAAGAAGTATGAGAAGATCTTTTGAACAGATCTTTCACTGAAATTACTGCTGAAATGAGGATTTGTACATGAGATTGACATAGAGAATATGAAACCAGTTAATCAGAATGCATATTCTCTGTCACAAACAGATCTTGAAGAACAGAAGTGTTAGATCACAGACCTTCTAGAACATAATCTTATACAATTCTCATCAAGTGTGTAAGGCTTCTCAGTTCTATTTATAAAAAAGATGAGTGAGAAGTGATAAATATATATCAATTATTAAGCACTTAACAAACTTATAATCAAGAATACATATTCACTATCACAGATTCAACAATAGTTAAATACAGTTGAAAATATCTGATATCTATCAAAGATCAATCTTCTCTCAGAATACTGATAGATCTGTGTGAATGAACTGTCAGTTCTGTAAACTGTGTTTAATATATAATAAGAGAAGTTTGAATTCCTGATAATATCATTTAGTCTGATAAATGTGCCTGTTATCTTCTAAATAATGATGAATATGATTCTTCATAAACAGAATAAAATCTCATGTCTTGTATACCTTGATGATATTCTAGTATTTTCAAACTCATATGATGAACATCTGAAGTATCTTGATAAAGTGCTTATAACTCTGACAGAGTATAAGCTCTATGCTAAATAAACAAAGTATGTGTTTAAAATAGAAGAGTTAAAGTTTGTAGAATATGTAGTGAGTGATGACTGTATACATCTCATTCTGAAGAAATTGAATGTTATAGTGAATTGACTGTGACTGAGAAATATACATCATGTATGACAGTTTCTTAAGTTAATCTCATATTACTGCAGATTTATCAAGGATTTCACATGAATATCTGCATCACTCTCAGATCTCTTAAGAGAAACAGATACAAATCTGTGAAAGAAGAAGTTTCATTCAATCATCTGAAATGCTGCATGTGAAGAGGCTTTTCTCACACTGAGAGAATGTGTAATAACATTCTCAGTGCTTATTCAATCAGATCATGATAAATCTTTCTACATCAAGACAGACACATTTGAATGAGCTATTGAAGACACTCTTTTACAGATGAGTAAGAACAGCAAGCTGCATCTGATGATGTATGATGATAGGAAACTATCAGACGCTGAGCTCAATTACTCAGTGTATAAAAAGAAATTGCTAGTGATCAAGCACACACTGATGTTATGAGATAGATATATTAACAACAGACATATGACAATAATGATCATAGATTATGAAAGTCTTGTCTATCTACAATCAATAATAAAACCTTTTAAATACTTAGTATGTTGAATCTCAGAGTTTCAAGTATATAATCTTCACATTAAATACTGAAAGGGATTGAATGCTGTGATATCTGATGCAATCAGTCACAGACTCAATTTCATGAATGAGAGTTCTGCAAATCAGGTATAAGAGAAGTTCACATTAAATGTACTGAGAAGATGCAAGGAATCAGAATGAGTGAACACAATAATCTCTTACTTGAAAAATGACAAGATATCAGATAATAAGTGTCTTATGAAAGTAGTAGAAGAGATGCTTCTGAACTTCAAGCTGAGAAAATTGAAAAACAATGTTGTGCTTTACTGTAATCTAAAATATGTGAAAGCTTCCTATCTAGAACATTCATTTAGATACAACTTGATGACTCACATGCATAAGGAATTTGATCACTTAGAAAGCCCTGAACTCATAGATGTACTCAAATCAAGAGTATACTGATCAAGCATGGCTGAGGATATTCAGACATACACTCACAAGTGCCTGAATTGCCAGGTTGTGAAAGAATCTAAGAAAGAGTTAGAATATGAGAAAGTGTAACATCAGGTGAAGTGTATAATACAACTGTTTAAATGATGAGAGGTGAACCTCATAGACATATTACGATGAATGTTAAATGAAAATTGATGAATAATCACTGCTATTGATTATGCTACTGACTGGTTAGTTGTGAAAGCAGTTTCAGAGGTGACAGAGAAGATGATGATGAAGTTTCTACATAATGAGATCTATGTTAACTATGAAATGCTGTGTGAGATTCTAACTGATAACAATGCAAATCTCATAGAAGAAGTGATGAGACATTTCATGAGTCAGTTACAGATAAGACATCATAGAACAATGTCATATCATCTGTGAATAAACAGGAAGATGAAACACTTGAATGAAATCTTGAATAACATGCTGATGAAATATCTAGTGAACAAGCCTACAAGACTATGAGATGAATATCTCAGACAGATACTATTAGTCACACAGATTCAACAGCATGCAGTCTTCAAGCATTCATCATTCTACCTGTTGTATGAATTGCATTCACACATTCTGAAGAATGCTTCAGAAAAGGTGAGAGAGGAAACAGCAGTTGCAGATGCATCAGTTGTGAACACAGCAGAAACAGCAGTTGCAGACACATCAGTTGCAGACACAGTAGAAACAGCAGTTGCAGACACAACAGTCACAGACATGAAACCAAGATTGAAAGAGATCAGTCACACATGTGCAAAAGCTAATAAGTGACTCCTGAACTGAGCAATTCAATTGAAAAGAATACAAGACTCACTAGTTAAGAAATTGAGTCTCAAGATGAGAATATGAGTTCTTGTACACAATGAGAGTTCTGAAAAGTTCTAACCTAGGTGATTTAAGTCATATAAAATACTCAAATCACATTCTCTGAGAACATACACATTGAAAGAATCAGAGAGACAGGTCTTACACAACTTAATAAATGATTCATGACTTGTGAAAGCAAAGATGTAAGACCTGAGTGAATTATGATTATTCACAGCACTATTATCAGTGTTGAAAAAGAAGAGACTTACAATTGAAAAGTCTCATGAAGTAAGAGAAATCATAGACACTTATAAATCAGATAATCTCACTTATTTCAATCTTTTCATAATTATAAGAAAAGAATGAGAAGTAATGAAGAAATCAGATGAATATCACACTTCAATAAGTGATGAGACTGTAGCTGATCATATGATAATGTGCTGTAGACAGTGAGTGTAACATGACAAAGAGCAGTCTCAAAGCAGCAGACTTACACATGGATCAGGTCACAGAAGAAAAAGGAATTCAGAGTTGAATTTGACTGTTTACATCAGTTCAATTGCAGAGATTACAGAGAATGAATTATCTGAAACATCTGTGAATGTGTGAGATCAAGTCATCTCAATTTCTGAGAATGCTTAGAGATTAGATGAGATTAGTTTTAATAAGCTGTTCACTGTAGTGATCTGAGCAGGCAAAGAGAGACAGTATAATGTGTGAGACAGAATCACAAAAGATGAAAGCTGCTGAACCTAGTCACTAAATGCTGTACTATATAGAGGTCATGTAAGAGTGATGACTAGCAGACAAAGGAAAAGTGTAAGAAAAGAAAAGAGAATGACTCAAGAGATAATAAATTAATTATCAATTATAAGAGTCAGCTGTAAAAGACAAATGTTATTATATATCTCATTTATTTTCATACATCACACATTTAATCTATTTCCAACATCACATCATCTGAAAAATGTAAAAAACAAAGGAAATCTCAAAACTCAAGATCTGCAAGGAATTTAAGAGCTGTAAGCTACTCTTACAATAACACTGTGCATGCCTCTGATTCCTCTACTGCTCTATATATGACATTAATGTCATTTATTACAAGATTGACTGAAATATCAATATAGAAATGTATACGCATGCATGTAGAAAAATTGAAGAAGAGTACAGAACCTGCAGAATCAGAAATCAAGACAGAAGAAGTGAAGACAGAAGAAATGAAAGAAGAAGAGAATGCAGAATCAGATAAACAACAGTGAGAGTCATCTGAGGCTGAATACTTATGACTCAGTATATGCACAACCTTCTCTGCAGAGAAGAGAGAGAGAGTGACAGAAGAAGCTTGAGAGTGAAAGAGAGTAGTCTCAGTGACATAATCATCTTCAATTAGAATGATCTCTGACACTGAAGCAACTAAGAATCATTGTTAGTATATAAAAAATCACAAAATCAGAGATGAGAATAGTTATCAAATAAACACTCACTGATCTTGGAATTGTACATGTAATTACAACACACATGAGGCTTCTCAGAAAGAGAGAGAGAGACACAGAGAAATGCAGAAAGCAGAATACAGTATGTGAATAGCTTATTTTCATAATAACATCTCAGACAAGATATATGAGCCTCATGTCTATGAGTGTAAAAGAGTATAATATTCACATTTCTGTTTCTGAAAACACAGATATCTTTTGCCTGCATCATGAAGTCAGACAACAGATGCTAGAGAATAGGCTGATATAAATCTATCATCTCAAAGAAATTTGTCAGAGTGAATATCTCTGTAATATTGAACTTTACAGTTATAAAAAGTTTCTTAATATCTGTGAACATCATAACTTCATACACAATAAAACTCATAATGATTTTCTCTAAGAACAGAAAAATCAGCATTAGAAAGAAAAGATAAAAAAGAAGAAGACTTATAATTTTAATACTGTTGAGAGAGAGAGTGATTCTCTGATATGAATGAATAATTACTTTATCATGAATATTTAAAATAAATATAATAATCAGCATTTATGACTGAGCTTTAGATAGTTGTGTCATACACTGTCTTCATGCAATAAATCATTCTAAAGGTCAGTAAGAAGAGTGAGAGTGTACACACTGAGAAATGTAGTTCACTGAGTCTACACAACATCTTCTTGAAACAGGGTGAGCTAGTAATGAAGGCAGTGATAGAAGCAGAAGTAGTGAAAGTAGAGATCACAGAAACAGAAGTAGCAGGAGCAGGAGAATCAGACACAGAGACAGGTGTAAGAGATTGAGAGAGAGCAGCAGAGAAAGAAACAGAGAGAGTAGAGAGAGACATGAAAGACTCAGTTATACATAATACAGACAATTTCTTCATTATCACATTCTTCAAGTTTTCAATCAATGATTCAACATTGAGATGTTCACTATTATCAGTGAATGCAGATCTGTCAACATGTGAAGATTCAATGTGAATAAAAACAAACATCAGCATCTGTGTTTATGCAAAATCATGTCAGAAAACATGATCAGAAGCTCACTGAGAAGAAAAACAGTCAAGAGTGTATAAGAAGATGAAGAAGATGTGTCATTCATGATAATATGTTCTGACAATCATTAGAAGATAAACAAGTTCTGGCCACATTTCACAACATATTACACTTACTGCTAACAAACTGCTCAGTATGAGCACTACAATAACACTTGTTATGGAAATGAGAGATCATTGTCAGAAATGCATATAATGTGATAGATGAACAGATAGAAAGAGTTAAACAGAAGAAGAAATAGAAATCTTGAATGAGATAATGACACTCAGTGATGATGATGAAGAAGATGATTGAAGAATGAAAAAAGTTAGTGAGTGAGTGATGTAATATAGTGAAAGTTTCTTTGTGAGAGTGTATATGAAATGCTAGCTGAATCAGAGATAGGTCACATAATTATGAACACTAGTAGCATGCTAATCCGCATGAAGCTAGAGTGTATATCATAGTCACATGGGCGTGACTGAATCTGGTGAGAGAGGATGTGATTTGAAAGAACATACAATCACTGAATAATAACACGGCCGCTTCTGAACTTGCTTACAAATGTAAAGAGGCTATAGCAGCCACCAATTAATTTAGTGTACAGTATATAAGAAGCCGGCGTACGCCTGTAATCATACGCTGGCTCAAGCAATCTTTGAATCACAGTAATATAGAAAGATCTGATTAATAAATATAAGAATCTCACTTCTATATAAGATTAGCAGATTACTCTTTTATAACAGTGAGATATTACTGAGGTATTACTCTAGCTATTCTTACTTATAGAATAAAAGAGAAGTATTTACTCATTATCTACATAGAATAGCTAGATACTGACTTCTTATTAAAGAAGTTAGTAATTCATTTTCTTCTACTGAAATATATACAAGAGTTACTAGACTGACCAGTGAGATTATGAATTTTATATTTAATTTCATTTAATCTAATCTTATACATTTCTTAGTGTGAGTCTCATCAGAATCAAACATTAAAAAAATCTGAAAATGAATCATTTCTGAGAGAAATGACATGAAAAATGATCAGATTTGATGCAAGAATAGTGAAATGAGAGTAATTTCTCAGAATAAACTGTAAAAGATAATCATTCTTTCAAAATCAAAATGAGACTGAGACTGAAGATTAAATTCAGTCTCATTTAATTCATTCAGTGATTGCTTATATAATCAGAATTTGATAATGATTATTGATAATACTCATGAAATAACTAAATACATTCTTATACAAGTTTATTCTTCACTTTCTTATGAAAACTACACTTCTCTGATATACTGTGATCAGAGATATTAAACTGTCTGATAATTTCATGTTTTACAATCATGAGTTTCTTGATTATTTCTTCTTATAATTGTTCTCAGTGATAGTGATAAATATCTCAGCTTAAGTTAAACTTTCACTTCATTCTCATCTCTGTCAATGAAATTATTAGAATATTATATATTATCAGTGTAACAGTTGAATATATACTTTTAACAATTTTTTCATAACTCTAGAATTGATTTGATGTGTAAATTCATTGAATCATCTTGAAGATAGCAGTTAAATTCAGTTTTATAAGCCTGTAGTTTTGCCTGATTTTCAGTTGTAATCAATGTATACAAGTTCTGTTTCAAAGTTAGTATTATAGTTCTATATGATATGAAGTGTTATCAAAGATTATTACTTACTAGAAAATTGTATTTCACTGTCTTCACATCTCTAACATCTGCTTATTTAAATCTCTGATAGTTGACATTGTAGTAGTCTCAGACAAATTTAATATATAAGTCTTATTTCTTCTCTATTCAATCTTGAGAAGTGTAGATATTTACTCAACAGAAGAAATCTAGTAGAGCTGCTATAGCATAGTACTCTGTAAAAGATTGTTCAGTTTTGCTGTAATAATATACTAGTTTATTTCTTACAGTAATAATAGCCTGCACTATAGCATTATTTCAGACTGAATTTCTTTTTAAATGATGTAACTGCTTCTTAAGATAAGTAAATAAACTGTTATACACTTATCAGACTGACTGCAGCATTGATGTATAAGTGATTGAGACTGTGTTTATTGTCTTATAAAACTGAAAAAGTAAATTAATCATATATTTCAACTGAGTTCACTTTATATCAGAAAGTTTTAATATCTGAATCTTTTCTTAATCAGAGTATTGCACTCAATGATCAATTATCTGATATAATTAAAGAGTGTAAATAATTATCTTATATATTGAACTTCACTGTGTTCTAACACTCTGTATCATATTCAGTGATATGACTGATTTGTTTATTTATTAAATATTATGAAATTATTATTATTATTTAGAGAAGATACAAATCATATTAAAAATATTTCAAATCTGAGATATTTAAATTATTAGTCAATCTATTCAAAATTAACAGTAGTATTATTAAAAAGTATTATTAAAAATCATTATCTTTTATAAAGTGAATATAAAAGTTACTTGAGTAATCACTTTCATCTCATTCTCATCTTAAGAATCAGTCATCTTATTATTTATTATCTTGATGTTAAGATTCTTTATCAGTGTTTATATTACAAGTTAAATTACATGAGTAATGCAGAGAATATAACCTTGTTTATTATTCTAGAAATGCAAAGTCAATTTTTACTTCAAGCTCTTCATTATAGTGTAGTTATTCACAGTATTATCAGTTGTAATTGTAAGAAGACTGAGACTAATATCTTAAAAATCATTTTTAATCACTGTTATTAATATCTCTGCTATATAATTCTCAGTATAACTACTGATTAATGATTTAAATTCAATTAATATCTCTTAATAAGTTCAGTTCTCATTAATACAATAACATATAACTCTTATAAATGTAAGATTGTTTGTACTAGTTCATACATTCACTGTAAGAGACACTCTTCAATGATTCTTCAACTCTGATTCTAGATATTATATATTGACTTTGTAATATATCTCAAGATTGAACTGAAGACATGATTAATATAAAATATAAAGATTTGAATTAAGTATTTGAAAAAGTGTTTGAAATTCAGGGTTTTCAATTGATTAAAGAGAAAGATTCAGAGATATATATATATAAAGTAATTATTCATGAAAGTTATCAGATAAGAGTTATGAAATCAGAGTACTGATATATAATTATTTTCACATGATTTTCTTCAAGTTAGAAAGTTAGTGTTACTAAACATCATTATTTGATAGAGTAATTTATTAGCTTAGTAGTAATTTTCTAATTATTTTGCTTTTATTATCTATATTCTAATGACTTCAGATGTCAGAAAATTTTATCAGAGCTATAATCAGTTCATAATAAATATTTCTGAATAAAGTTGTAGTAATTACAGTAGATAAATAACTCTTCAGTAATCTGTAATACAATCTGTTAATAATTATTTCATAGTTTATCTCAATATTTGTATTGAGTTTTTCATAAATTTCATGACCTGAAATCAGATATGCAGAATGAAGTGATTATTTATTACAATTAAAAGAGAGTATTCTGTATTGAAGTGTAAATAATATAGACTGTGTAATTCACAGTGATATCTTAAAGAGTTTATAAATCTTTAATAGAAGTGAAAGAAGTGAAAGAAGTAAATTCAGAAGATATAATAAAGATAATAACTGATCACTGATGTATATAAGAAGAATTATTATAAGAGAAAATAATCTTCTTTTCTAGCTTAGTTATAATTTTAGTACTAACTCAGATTAAATATCATCAATGTATAAAAATAAATAAATAATCTTGATTAATCTCTGTCATATTTCTTGAAATATATTAATATTGTGAAAGAGAGTGTTATCAAATTATATTATCAGATAATATTATTAAAAATATATTAATATTATGAATATTAATGTTGAAAAAATGTTGATACTTATACATTATAGTGATTTGTGAATTATAATAGTTAAATATATATATATATATTATTTGTAACATTGATTACAACTTGTACAATAATTTTTAAAAACTTAAAATTAATTTCAATTATTAATAATTATAAACTTATAACTAACTAATATAAAAAGCAAAAATTTTTTTCTACTTATTATCTTTCCTCTCTTTCTTATTCTTCTTATCATTCTTCATAATTTATTTCTCATTCTTACTCTTCTTCTTCTTCTTCTTATCTGAGATCATAATTATCTTAAAATCTCTCTTCACTATCTTCTCAGAGAAGAGTTCTCACTACTTTCTCTCAGTCAGATTAATCTGTATCTCAAAATCCTGCATTTTCTAATCTACTGTCTTGAGTTTCATCTCAGTAGTAAGCAGATTGACATGCTTAGAGAGTAGAGCTGTCTTC